AGCAGTAGTAGTGGTGGTAGTAGTGGTCGTCATCGTCGCGGTCGTGGTGGTGTTGGTGGTGGTGGTGGTGGTGGTGGTGGTGGTGGCGGTGGGGGTGGGGGTGCTGACGGTGGTGATGGTGGTGATGGTGGTGATGGTGGTGACGGTGATGGTGGTGATGGTGGTGATGGTGGTGGTGGTCGTCGTGGTGGTCGTGGTGATCGTGGTGGTGGTGGCGGCGGTGGTGGTGGTGTCGTGCTCGTCGCGCTCGTCGCGCTCGTCGTGGTCGTCGTGGTCGTCGTGGTGGTCGTGGTCGTCGTGGTCGTCGTGGTCGTCGTGGTCGTCGTGGTCGTGGTCGAGGTGATGGTGGTCGTTGTGGTCGTCGGTCGCGGTGGTCGTTGTGGTCGTGGTGGTCGCCGTGGTCGTCGTGGTCGCTGTGGTCGCTGTGGTCGCTGTGGTCGATGTGGTCGTCGTGGTGGCGGCGGCGGCGGTGGCGGGGGTGGTGGCGGGTGGCAGTGCAGTTAGTGGTGTTGGGGCAGTCAGTGGTGGTGGCAGTTTGTGGTTGTGGTAGTGGTGGTGGTAGTAGTGGTACTGTCCAGTCGAAAACACTGCTAACCGACGATGCTTGACAATACAAGAGGAACAAGTACTGACTTGGCTGACACATGCAACTGAATCTCGTAAGGTCTGACAAGAAAGCAATTTCGAGCCACTGGGAAGATGGCTTCGTGCGACCTGAAGAAAATTGTCCTTGCCGTTACAAAAAATCGGTGACACTCCTCACACTGGACAGACCTGTTGCAAGAAGCAGCACTTCAATGTAGGCGCCTCTGCCATGAAGAGGCGTGATTCTACGTAAGCGACGGTCACCTTCCCAAAGAGCTTTCAATTTCAGCTGCTGTGGAAACCCGTGGCAGAGCAGACGAAGCTCCCTGGAACCCCTGGCCTGCTGGATGAAGCTCTCGAGGGCTTTCGGAGCCTTGTCCTGTGCCAGGCAGTGCCAGGAGCCGTGGCAATGAAAAGGGCATTCCGTGGAGATGCCTGCAGCAGGATCACGGGACTAACCATGGCTGCCCAAAAGCCCAGAAGGTAGTGCTTCGAGTTCGGCATCACTTCCCACCGCCTTGGCTTGTTGCAGCTGCAGCAATGCACACTTTGGGCTCCCAAGCAACCAGGACCAAAATCTGTTGCCTTGAGTCGGAGCCCCTTCTGAGACTAGCTTAGCAACCCGAAGCTATGCTCACGCTTCCGCTCTTCGCCAAGCTGCCGGAGGCTGTCCATGGTGAAGCCATACACTTGCTCGATCCACGCCTGGAACCTCGCTGTGCGAGAAGACGGTGAAGGTTCAGGGTTTAGGGTGTTCTGGGTTTAGGGTTTAGGGTTTAGGGTTTAGGGTTGTTCTGGGTTTCAGATTTTGCGTTTGGAGTCCTTGGCCCTGCTCTCTCAGCTTCGTTTGGCCGAAGCTCGAATGAGAGCAGCGGCAATGCATGACCTTCACTGGAGCCTTTCGAGAAGTGGGGCTCTCTAAACCTCTGCTTAATTGGTTCGCAGCCTACGATCTCGTCCAGTTGCAACAAAGAAGCAGCAGACAGGACCCCCGTTTATTATAATCGAAAAGACAGGGAAGTGATCTTCTCTCAACGACCGAAGACGATCTTGAGCTCCCGGCTGTTCGTTTGCACACAGCTCATTAAGCTGATGCGTTGCCTGGCCATGCGGAGTTAAGCTGCAAATTCCTTCGGCAGTGCGAAACCGTCTTGCTGTTGAGTTGAGGGTGTAGAGTCTACTTCCGTTCGAAACCTCGAAACAGAACTGCCGGTTGGAAGCTGCGCATCAATGCTCGGCGTCCGCCTGCGGGACCACCCAGTTAACCGGGCGTGGTTACTTGTCTGACTGGAGTTTGGAGCCACGTGAACCACACCCAAGCAGGCCAGCTTCACATTGATCTTGCCCAGAAGGCGACACAACTCGTGGTAGCAGGCATGTTCCTGCGCAGGCCCACGTTGCCTCACAGTCCTCCCCACCCCCTGCCACTCCTGCAAGCCCATCTTGGAGGCAAGGATGGCTGTCGTCCCCTGTTCGGCAGAGAGCAGTCTGCAAAGCAGTTCTCATGTCAAGGGCGCAGCACTTCCCGGATGCCTGCATCATGCTAGCCAAGAGCCGCGTCCGATCTTCCTCCTGGGCATCGCCGGAAGCAAACTACCAGCTGCCGCCAAGTTACCTATAAGAACTTTACCAGACAGCTCCTTCTGAAAGAAGGATCGCCGTAAGGCGGCTAGCAGCACGAGGAATTGCCTGACAGAGATCATCGGGTTCACGAGCATGACCGTATTGCGTCTCTTTCCAGTTTCATCTGGGAGCGGGGCAGGCAGAATTGAGCGCACTCCATCCACTGGTAAGTGCAACTCCTGCACAAGTCGGCATTTCATGCAACAAGGGACTTCCTCTCTGAGCCGGTTTAGGGGTTCGGGTTTAGGGTTTAGGGACTTCCTCTCTGAGCCTTTCTTCGCCTTTTTGATGCAATGGGTGAGACACGGGGAAAATTGCGTGGCCCGGCCTTGGGCCTCAGCAACGCATCGTCCAGAGACTCTAAAGCTAGACAAGCTCAGAGACTCCAATATCCCTGAATTAAGGAATATACCTTAAATCTTATTAGGGTTCCTACTATAATTTAAGGTATATTCCTTAATTAAGGGATATTGGAGTCTCTGGGAGATCAGAGCCTTCGGCTCCTCAGAGTGAACCAGGCTCTCCCTCATGCGCATTGAAGTCCGGAGCAGCTTCGGGCTCCTGACATCGGGATCTCACACTCTTCGTAAAGCCTAAACCCTATTTAGGGTTTAGGGTTTAGGGTTTAGGGTTTAGGGTTTAGGGTCCTAAACCCTAAACCCTAAACCCTAGGGTGCCACCTCTCTCTGGGGCTCCTCCTCTTCCGCGTGTGGAGGATCCTCTTCGTCGGCTTTCGGGAAAACCACGGAGGCAACGATGGCAAGCAGCCTAATAATATTATCATACTATTATAGTACTATTATAGTTCCATTATCGTGTTATGATAGCACCTTGCGAAGAGAAGTGGTCGTGTTGGACCAGCGCCCACCGGCTCTTGCTGCCAAGGGAGCAGAAGACTGAGAATCAGCACAGACGACAGCAGCATGCCCACCTCGGATTCAAGTTCCAAGGGCTTCGAGTCCCTACTCCTTGAAGCTCATGTAGCAAACCCTAAACCCTAAACCCTACACCCCCTAAACCCTACACCCGACACCCAACACCCTAAAGGCAAGGTGCCTCGAACCAATGCGAGACGATGAGCTTCAAGCCGATAAAGAGCAGCACAGCACCAACTCCGTACCTGCGAAGTCCCATCCAAAGCGGGCAGCGCCCGCCGACTCGAGGGGCTCCCGGGACTTCTTCACTCTTGAAATGACTTTTATGGTTATAACATGTAGAAATATGATGATACCCTTTGTCCCTATGATTCCGATGATTTACTGTACATTTTTAACATGAGGCGGCTAGCTTCTTGGGTGTACGTATATACATCTGCAGGGCTTTGCAATGTCTGATCGTGCCTCCCTGTTCTCCCTCTTGATCGTGAATAAACACCCTCTGCAGCAAAACTGAAGTCCCAAGAGCCGCCATGAAACTCAAAAACACAAGACACTGAGATGTTAAGACCTTTGCAGCAAGCTGCGGAAGGAAGCGGAACATGTGCGTCAGCAGGTCGACTACCTTTGCATCTCCAGCAGTGGTCAATCTGCCGATTAGCGACTGCATGGGGGTGGACATGGCTTCGAAGCATTGAATGTGCCTCCTTCTTCTTGATGGCCTTCTCTACAGCAGCCCACGCAAGGACCCGAAAGTACACCAAGCGTAAACTGTCCAAGGCTCCAGGTAGAGGCTTCGAAGCACGAACATCGCAAAGGCACTTGAGGAGAGATTCAAGAAGAAGCTCACCTGAGCTGGAATATGGGAGTTTCCGAAGATTAGGCTATCCTATTTGGGAGTCCTTATAATAATGATCCTACTATTTAGGGTACTATAGTAGGGTCTCCTATTTTCTGAAACCCCCATATCGTGGAACCCCGGGACTCTACGAGGCTCTTTGAGCCATCACTGCTAGTCGCCTACTCTCGGTGACTCCATTCGGAGTTTCTCGAAACCCGCACCACTAAAGTCACCAGATGACGCATTCGGCTTCAGAGTTCTCAAGGCTCAGGGTGTCCGGCCTGTTTATGGGTTAGGAGTAGCGTTGGGAGTCTGGAGTTGGGAGTTGCTGCGAGGAAGCCCGGACTTAAGGCTCTGCGACCGCAATAACGAACCAAAGAAGCAGGCAGGATAGAAGACATTTTGCCAACATCCGAGCAGTTGCATCGGGATGAAAGCCCACCACCGAAGATATCTTTGCGGTCACCTTTTGCAGATGTCGACGCTAGCATCTCCGGCTACATCTTCCTTGAGCAACACTTTCCTAGCATGCTGAGATTGCCGCACTATCAACGGCAAAGATGACATCGATGATGGCCAGGGTGAGCACCACCAGGAAAAGTGGTGTCACCTGAAACCCAGCCGCATGCTTCTTCTGAGCTGTTGACGTGACAGCAGTGGTCACCTTGCACACCCTCGGCTCCGTGGAGTGCATCTCCGCCACCCTCTCAGCCTGAAAGGCTCAGGCTCAAACCCTGAACCCTAAACCCCTGAAACCCTAAACCCTGGACACTAAACCTTAAAACCCCAAACACTAAACCCCTAAACCCCTAAACCCTAAACCGTGGCCCCACGGTAACGATCTGGCCTCGACATCTTCGCCATCTACCATGTCCTTCCTTGGCGGTGCAAAAGCTGCGGACACAAAGGGTGCAGTCTCTTAGCCTTGAAGCAAACAGAGTTCCTTTGAGGGTTCCTACAAGGGGTATGGGACCTTGACAACTACAAGTAGGTCTTTGGAGTTGAATGATGGGCACAGGTAAAAATAGGGCCAAGTATACGGACCATAAGAAAATATGGGTGGTTGTCAAAATTAGGGTCCCTTTTTGGGTACCCTAAATATTAAGTGCCGTATTATATTACGGACCCATAAAGGGACCATAATTTTGACAACCACCCCTGTGGCTTCTACAAGCTCTCCACCAGGGCACAGGCGGATTCCATCCCCATCAGCTCCGGGGGTGCCAAGCACAGTGGGCTCCGCGGCATGCTTCGTGGAGTGCTTGGGCACCCAAACGAAGAAGACTGCACGCTCGGAGTACTGGTCGTGCAAAGGGAGAAGCCGGGCGATACATCTCACAGCAGGATTCTTGCTTGGATCATCCTCCTCTTCCGAATCGGAAAACGCCTGAACCACGACCACAAGAGTCACATAGCTGAAAGAACAAACAAAGACGGGCAACGCTTACGGCTTACGCTGCATGCTGCATCGGCCTTCCACCCAGAGATCATGAGGAGGAGGCCAAAAAAGATCCTCGCCACCAGCCCAAGCTGCAGAATTTCTGTGCCGATGCCAAAGAAACCCAGCCGAAGGAGCACGGCTGCGGCGATACCCCAGAAAAGGGCCCTATCCACGTGGCACTCGGGAGTCGAGTAGCCCTTGAAGACCAACTGAAAGACAAACAAGTTGTCGATCGACAGCATGTACTCCAGGAAGTAACCATACATCCAACTGCCTCCAGCCGCCGCTCCCAGTGCCTGCATAACGAAGGCTGCAAAACCAAGCCCAGCCAACACCCAGAGTAAGATCTGCTTTCCATATGTAGGCATGCAAGCACAACGGCCAGACCCATTGATGCAGCAGAAGTCAATACCAGCGACGACGAATATGGAAACAATCAACGCAATCCAAAGAGCCGCCAGAGGAGTCGATGGAGGCTCAGCTGGAAAGTTTTCCGCAGCTTCCGAGGCCATTTTGCACTAACCGATTCCGGATCTCAAAATCTCCGCGAGCGCATCGTCGCAGGGCCTCCCAGGCACCGAGACCCCGGCAATGCTCCGCCTGTTCTCAAGGCCATGCATCCGAGGCCGAGCTTCATGACTGCACTTCTATAATACAAAAAAAGAGTAAGATGATATTTTCGTTAGTATTAAAATAGTCTACTGGGATATAACATAACATGATGTACTATTTATCTTCTGCTCAAGTGTAAGGCCCGCGGCCCTTTCCTGTGTGGTTCGATTTGGCAACGCGGCACCAACGAGTTCGGGAAAGCAGGTAGACACGGCGCAAGCTAATCAGTGGCCAGATGCAACAGAGATCCATGGAAGCAGACAGTCTGGGTCTTTCGGTGTCGCACCCTTTCTTCTGTTCTTGCAGGTGGCTTCGCCAAAAGCAAACTACGAAATTCGCGGCACAAGAGCTGCAGAAAATGCTCATGAATTCTGACATAAACCGGCGACAGCCAACCGGTTGCCTGCCGTACATGCACACGATGCAAATCCTTGTAGCTCTGTCATCTTCTTCTCCTTGGTAGCAAACTGTGGGAAATCTGCAAGCAATCCTTTTTAAGCACATCATTCTTGAGAAATCACCGCCACCACGCGGCACAGGCACACCAAAAGGCCAACGGCACCACCTGCACCAGCACTACTAGCATCAACTCCCCCTTGGCAACAGGAGCATCAACACCAGCACCACCAACCCAACTCCACATTCAACGCAGTCAGGAAAGAAGGACTAGCACTTAGTACCATCACCCTGACAATCACAGTTACGATGTCATCACAACCGTTATGGTAATAGCACAAGTACCCACATCAGCGAGATGTTCTGCAGCATCATCAGCATCGACACTGGCATTGATCATCACTGTCGTCGTCATTTCCATCTTCCTCAACATCACCGCCATGATCGCCACCACCATGGTCACCATCGTCATCGTCATGACCGACGTCACTGACATCAACGACATCAACAGCATCAACGTCATCACCACCACAATCACCACTCGTATCGTGGGACTCACCCACATCATCAGCCTGGTTCGCGTCATCACGACAGGATTCTGCAAGCAAGGCTCCCATTTCTGAAGTTCCCTGCCAGGCAAGTATTTGAAGTGGCTTGCTTCTTCTCTCGCTCCTTTCCGTGCAGACATGTCACGGTCGAAACTCACCTGCCTGACGAAGCCCACGTTCGGGCGAATGCACGGGCGAGCGGCTCGAATTAGTCTGATGGCAACAGCAGCAGAAACGCCCAGCTTCCACATGATGTAACCTCAATCGCAACAAGTCTGTCAACCAAAGCGCAGGGCCTTGACACACAACTGTGCGAGTTGCAGACCAGGTGCTGGCCGCAGCAGTGGGCGCACGAGAAATACCTCCAATGCTGCTGGTTGATCATAAACTTGCAGGTTCTGCCCGATGGCACACGAATGAAACTCGCCTACTGGATTCAACACGACCTTTTACTGGTCGGCGTTCTACCGGCCAGACACGGGTGTATCACCTCTACACTCTACGGGCAAACTCAATCTCTTTGTTTATGCTCTTTCCTGCAGTGGGTGAGAACCTGTCGGCGCGAAAATTTCAACTGGCCCAGAATGATAATGAGAAAGCGCGCATTCTTGTTGTGCCCTTACGGAACCGCAGCTCCGTGCATGGGGAAATGTACCAGAGCGAGCGGGATACAGCCTAGTGCAACAGGCACGGCAGTACATAAAAGCAACAGCAATACCCCAGCTTGTGTCAAGGCATACAAACAGCATACGGGAGTTTCCGAACATACGAGATACCTTGTTTGGGGGTCCTTAGAATAAGGATCCTACTATTTAGGGTACTATCTTAGGGTCCCCTATTTTCGGAAACCCCCATACATCAAATGCTGAACCACCAAACTCTTGCTAGCAGACCCGGCACCTTGGAAAGGCAACAGCAAGGCCAGGATGCAAGTAAATACAAACCGCAGCTAGCGCAGCCACTTATACCTTCATTGCCTCGCCCCAAGAAAAAAAGGCAGAAAACTCGGGTGGGAGCAATTTCTGGGCTAACCAGGGCCAAGTCAGACACGGAATTGCTAGAAGGAAGGGGGGAACCTTAGAGGCACCGGTAGTAGAGAAGACGTGATAAGAGAACAAAAGCAGGTAAGACGATTACCACCGCCGCCAAGGCGACCACGACAGCGACAACGAGCACAAGACGCACATCACCATGATCATCGACGACAACAGCAACGACGACGACAACAGCGAAATTAGCGTCAACAGCAGCAGCAAGCAGCGACAGCGGCGACAGCGGCAGCAACAACAGCAATGGGAACAACAACAGCAAAAGAAGGCACTGACCGGTACGTCCTGGCTGATTCGTCCCAACACAGGGAATGCGTGGAACTCGGAATATCATCCAAAGAATCTGCCTCCAAACCGGGGCAGATCTCGCCAGCAAGCAATCGACACCCTCACATCCCCATGCACTCTGCACAGCCGGGGCTTGGCCGCGAGGGCTTACCTTCTTGATGCTTGAAAGCCCGAGATTGGGGAATCAGACATGACACCCGTGCCTGCGCCGCAGTGGACGTAGACTTTGCCACGCTCGCCGCGTCCATCGATGAAGCGGCAAATGTCTGGGAAGCGCTCCCCAAGCCTGCAACAGATGCAAAGTAGCTGCAATCGCCAACCCTTGCGATGTTTATCGCAAGAGCATTGTGCCACTGGCTTGCGGAGGCAATGCATGCCAATCGCAACCTCGCTGCCTTGAGCCTGCAAGTAACTTGAGTGAGCTACGCTCCTCCCTATGGGCCCTGGTGCCGGCCCCATCGGCCCCATGCTTGTGACATGTCTCGGCCAGGCAGCTTTTGCGCGGCATCTTCGCTGTCGAAGGAAAAGATGTGCAGGTGGCCCTGCACAAACCTGACCCAACCAACAGCTTCACTTCGAAGGCACGAACCCTTAGAGCCCCTGTACGACGCCTCTGACCATACACATACAAACAAACCGACAAACGGACAGACAGACATATATATACATATATATATATATATATATGCCCCTATATATGTACTTATATGTACATTTGCACCCTCTTTGGTCAAGGTAGATCTGGCGCGCTAAATTTCGGAAAGGCGCTCTGGCAGCTTTCGCTGGTCTGCTGAAATGATGGAGACGACGTGCCTCGCATCGCGGCCGAATGTCTGCCCGAGTTCGGTTTGGAAACCATCGATGTGAGACACGGTTGAACCGGCTTAATCGCAATTTTGCTGCCCTAGCTCCAGTGTCCTCTGAAGCCATAGGCTCGAACGGCGACGTCCCCTGAGATCCGGACGTCACCGATCGGCGGCGCAGCTCGTCGCAGTCGCGGCCAAGTGCCGCCCAGCCACCAATTAGCAGCCAGGGTAGCACCTGGCGCGGCAACAGTTATCGCCAGTCATCGCGCAGTAACATCAGCCCAATGAATGATCCGCAGCTTCACAATAAATTCTCGAGCCTGGTGGCAGAGATCCTGCTTAGGAGCTCGTGACAGCGACACCTCACATTCACAGCATTTTTGGAACATCAACATTCACGCATCAAAGAGTTCGCTGTCATGAGCCCGCTGTGGCCTCCAAACCCGCCGCTGTCACAGCCGTGGATGCTGCCTGCAAGGCCTTGGCAACTCCAGAGAAGACGATCACTACAACATGTCAGGCATCCGGCTGGAGGGGATTTGTGGCAGTGAAACCCGCCAGCTGGGGCGACTGACCTGCGACACGTGTGGGATTCTTTGCAGCTCAGGTGCAGAGTTCACTTCCTCCTTGGAAGCCGAGGAAGTCGCCGCCTTGCCCAAGATTTGCCCCGTCTTTGGTGTGGAACCAAGTTTTTGCTGCGAACATCCGGCCTGACGCAGAGCATCGAGCGACCTCTCCAATTCTCTTCGGCCCGGCAGCGCGGCGGAGGCTTCCTGTCGGGCCGAGATGCGGCGAGGACTCTTCATCGGAGTTCTTGTATTCAAACCCAGGGTTCCGCCCGAATCCTTATCAAACCATGGCCACCTCCCGCCTCCACGGTCTGCAAGGCTAGAAAGAAGAAGCGCAAAGCGGCCGCATCGATGCCAGCAGCAGCGGCGGCAGCGGTTTGCCCTCGGGAGGTTCTCGCGAAACAGTGGCGAAATGCATCCCATGGCATGGCATTCCCGTGCAGTCCCCGGCCTTCGAAGAGGATCCGGTCTGCAGCTTCAACTTCACTGCGCACTTCATCCTGGAATGCAAACTTACCTTCCCTCTTCTCTCAGCGCGGACCCCAAAGCAACTCACCTCGCTCTAATGCTCGCATCAATAAAGAGAGCGGGCTCTGCCCAGCGAGGCTCACAGAGGGTATGCCCTGTGCGTCCGAGAGGCTGCCGTCTTCCTCCATGGCCTCAGCCGGACCGGCCTCATGTCCTTGACAGTTTAGGGTTTAGGGTTTAGGGTTTAGGGCAAGTAACTAGTGTTGATATTTTGCCGCTGTCGCTACTACTTGTATGTACGATGGTCGCAAGATGGCGCAAGATCTCTTCCGACGCGTCTCCTGCGACCATGCAACATGCAGGGCTTGCCTTCGCCGAGGCTTTGACATGCGACTTGGCTTTTGGCGGCGCAGGGTCCCTGAGCTCTCACAACAGGCAGCTTTCGAGCTGGATGCAGGGTTGTGGACGTGGATCCCAGGCGGAGGCAACAGGGTGACTTCCATTTCCCTAGACTCCATTCAGACACGCTTGCTCGAGCTTGCTCGTCACCAAACCATCTACTAAGCTACTAATCATGCCGTAGCAGGCACGTGCTCGTCCAAGAGGCGCTTGAGAGCTTCTTTCCCTCGCTGGCCGGACGGAGGTTCCTCGAGCTAAAAAGCCAGCACCCGACACTCACAGCTGCGACGAGTACCATCATTGTCAGCCAGACATGTTGAGCTTTGCTCTTCACACTGTTCACCTGGGTCGAATGTGGTGGCTATTCTTCTTCTGCATGATGGGCACAGTGCACGGTTTGGGCAGCTTTTGAACCACACAGCCGAGGCTGGGATGCAACTGCCACGACTCAGGCGAGCAGTTCGCCAAAGGCTTACTGCTCGGATGCACCCGGATCCGCTTGCATCCTCTCACATCACTTCGACGCGCCTCCTGCATCGCCGGCCGATTCCTCGCCCAGAACTTGGCTTGCCTGATCGGCCGTCTGTGTGGGTCTCTGATTCGACCTGCTTTGAGAGACTGGCATTCTGGCAACGCGCCTTCGCTTCCGCCTGCATTCGGCTGTCGCTGTCTTCCAAAGAGGCTTCCATGCTTCATCGGCACGGAAGGTCTCGAGGGATTACATGTGGCAGCAGTGTGGCAACCTACGACATCTCCAGGTTACGTGCCGTGGACTGCCCTCCTCTGGCTCGGAGCGTCTCGGCTTCTGCAAGTTACGTCTAGCAGCGGATGCTCACCGTGTCAATCCTGCCATCCATCCCTAGCAACTTGATGCCAATATTGCATGGGGTGGTCGAAGCATTCCGGCAGCCACTATCGTTTCCAGCTTCAAGCAGCACGTCCTGCAAGGCAGCCCGGGCATGCAGTCTCCTGGAGTACATGTCGAAGAACAGCTTCGGAATGCCATCATCCCGCAGCATGCTCCAACCTCGCATCCCCATCTGGCATCACTTAAGTATGGTAAGGAACTTACAGGCACGTACCTGAAGTCATCTTAAAGCCCACTGTACCAGCCAGCTTGCACTTGCTGCGCACGCACACAAACCGAGCATTTCACGACATTTGCTCGGAGGGTTGAATCAGAGTTGCTCGCGATATTTGTTTCCGAGCGTGGCGCTGCTCAAGGTATTCACATAGAGTTTACATCAAAACGCAGACATGAGAACATGTGAGCCGAGGATGGGTGGCAAATAACGGGCACGAGCTTGTCGCATCTGAGGCAGGCACTGTGTGGCACCATGACCTTGAGAGCAAAACGATTAAGTGAAGGTTGTGGACGTGATCTTGTTGTTGAAGTCTGCGACTGAAATACTCTGCCACCAAATGCCCATGCATCTTATGCTGAGTATGCAAAGAGTTAGAGACACCAGGCTGATGTCGAACTCCACTGCCGCAGGGCCCCATTGCGAGGGAAAGCAGCGTGAATGGTCTTATCTGACTGCGACTTCGCGTGATGAACTTTCCTGAACTCACTTCTTGTGGCTCAAAGCCCAGCCTAGAGATTTCCTGAAGCACCGGCGCCGAAACCCATTTTTCTCACTTCCTCGGCCTCGGTCTATCTCTCTCTCTCTCTCTCGATGTGTAGGCTTCCGGCAGTTCCCTGCTCGTCGGAGGTGTCATCCGGGATGGTTCCCATGAAGTCAAAGGATAGGCAGTTGCAGGAAAGGTTTAGGACCTGCAACCGAGAAGAGCAGCTCTGAAAAGGCCAAACAAAGCAGAAATCGGGGGCCCTCCCAGGCTATGCGCCTGCTTGCTAAGCCGGCGCTCGTCGTTCTTGTCCGGGACATTTATGGCACCAGTGCTCAGCTGCTGCAGCCTAAGGGGCTCTTGCAGACCGCCATCGCAGCATTCGAAATCAGCCGTCCTGGGAGCCGCGAGCCCCCTGCGTCTGGATGGCAATGGTGAAGATCGGTGGCAGGGCCGTGTCCCGGAAGCTCAAAGCTGTCCTACGATGCCTGGCATTCCGGGCATCGGGGCATCAACCCAGCAGACTGGTCATTCAAAGCTCAGATCTAGTAGACCGCCTAGTTCGCTCCAGAGGATCACATGCGCGTACAGGCGGATACCCCCACTTCCCCGCTTCCACCCACAGGAAACGACGATCCCACCCCGCCTCTCTTAAACTTTCCCTGGCTTGTCTTTGGCCTCGGCCTACTTCGGAGCACCTGTGTCCGCTATGTGTCCCGGAACATCAAGCGGCGCCACCCACGTCGTGACTTCTAACCGAGCTTCGACTACAGTGCTTTCTCTTATGTTTAAACGATGCCCAGGCAACTGTAACTGGAATTTTGAAGGCGGTCTTGGTTCTGGTTATAACATCGAAATTAGCTGGCTTCTCCTCTAACTTGCCAGAACTCGCAGCTCCACGGAACACGAGACTCGCGATGCGACCTGCTCATAGAAGGTCCTATGGTGGGCTGCATATCCTGAGAAGGCTGGACACTAAGCACTGCCAGACAAGAGCTAACCGTACGTTCCCGAGGCTCAAGCGGTTGTCAAGTCTGTGTAGATCTCCAGACCTAATACCCAATGCCTCGCGACAAGAAACTGTCACATGTTCAACTGATATCACGACCAATGCCGGCGAGTCCGCAAAAGCACGAGCAAGACGGACACACACAGCCCGAAATACTTTTGACGACGCGTTCTCAGCGGGTTCATTTCCTAGGCAGTCGTATGGTCGAGACATACAAACGAAAACAGCAGAACCGAGCAGCAAAAGACTCTCCTCCAGCAGGCAAGTTCTTGCACTGGAGGCGATCTCAAGTCACCAGTGTCCACACATCCTTGCTACCCTGCACCTATCAGAAAATGAAAGTTGCCACTGACGGATTCGCCAGCGCATGGCCAGATTTGGCCGAAGCAGCTGAATTGCCACCAACTCATGTGGTGGTCTAGGCCGAATTATGGCGGCATGACACTAAGTTCCATGCCACCCCAGCATAACAAAAGAAAACTAGCACTACTGCAAACAGCCTTTCGTCCGCACGAGGCTGGCTTTACATCTGCAGGGGTCGAGACCGCTACAACAGCGTCGAGGGATCCTGTCCTTGATAGAACTCCTGGAAGTTGAAATCGCATGGCGGGTTTGGCAGCTCCGCCTGGGCCAAAGAGGGTCCGGGCTCCAGGGGCTCAAGTTTAGTTTAGTTTAGGGTTTAGGGTTTAGGGTTTAGGGTTTAGGGTTTAGGGAAGTCCTGGCTTTGGTGCTTGAGTCTGGGGTTCGGGACTCCGGACATTTTTGGCATTGTCCTCCACACAACAGCCTGCCAAACAATGCCGTGCCAAGCCGCACCATACTTCTTCTCAAACAGGTCCCGCACAATCTTGATCTTGAACTCATTTGCGGTTGTAGAATTGCCTGAGAGGCTCTATGGTCCATCTTGAACTCCCATCCCATGGAGCAGGCGAAATGTCCACCCGAGCGCCGCACTGTTGTTCCAAAACTGCTGCATGCTGCTGTTGCTGGCCCCGTAAACGTCGCCAAGCCAGATCTGCTCACCTGCACAAGGGGCCAGATGAAGAACGATTATATTATATTATATGATACTATATGATATTATATGATATTATAGTATACTATATTATATAATATTATATTATACTATTATATTATATTATATAATATTATATTATACTATTATATTATATTATATTATATTATATTATATTATATTATATTATATTATATTATATTATAAATCTTGAAAACAGATTCTTAGCCCGCAATCCCTTCATGTGAACGGCGGGAGTCCTCACTGCAAGACAAGACCCCCCCCCCCACCCCCCCTGAAAGCCGCTGCCAAAATCTCCGACCGCCCAAGCCCCAACCCCCGCTCCACGTCAAACCACCAGAGTATGATGAGCCGAGAGCTGCCGCAAGTCAAAACCCTAAACCCTAAACCCTAAACCCTAAACCGACAAGATCAGAGCCTTCATCCTCGTAGCTCCAGGTGCCTCAATGGGAGGCTCTTCAGTCAGAGCTTGGGGCCGGCTCAGGGCCCCGTCTTGGCGGTTTAAGGGTTTAGGGTATAGGGTTTAGGGTTTAGGGTTTAGGGTTTAGGGTTTAGGGTTTAGGGTTTAGGGTTCAGGGTTTAGGGCTTAGGGTTTAGGGCTTAGGGCTTAGGGCTTTGGGTTTTTTGGGGTTCCAGCCCCCAAACCCGGAACCCCAAACCGAGTCCACCTAGTCCCAAGCCACTTGTATAGTACCCTAAATAGTAGGATCCTTATTATAAGGAGCCTAAACCCTAAACCCTAAACCCTAAACCCTAAACCCTAAACCGTGGTACCCCTTATTTTAGGGAACTCCCACTGATCCTCCACCAAGAGGCAGTCTCCAGATCCCGTTGGGCTGCCACACTTGCCGCCCGGCTGCAGCTGTTCGCCTTGGGGACATAGGTTTTTGGAGGTAACCCTAAACCCTAAACCCTAAGGTTTTAGACTAGTTTTAAGGGTTTTTGGAGGTAACCCTAAACCTTAAACCCTAAATCCGAAGGTTTTAGACTAGTTTTAAGGGTTTTTGGAGGTAACCCTAAACCCGAAACCCTAAACCCAAAGGTTTTAGGCTAGTTTTAGAGGTAGGCTCTGGGGTCGGGGGTTTCGGGTTTCGGTTGTTCGGTTCCGGGCTTCGCAGTCCGAGACAATCAGCTCTCGATTGGCCAACTGGGCTTCGGACACCGCGGAGTTTGACTGTAGTATGGCATTTGTGGGCAGGCCCCTGGCAGGCTGTACCTGAAAATAGATCTCATCCCAAGCAGGTGCTGAGCACAAGAACACAAGATAGTCTTCGAAAATCCTGCAGGCGCACCAAACTCCTCCAGGGTAGTAGGTTTCGTACTTCGGAAAAGGAAAAGAGCCTCGCATCGCACGTGGCAAGCGGTTATTCGAGACAAGAGGTAGCTTGCCAGACGCATCAGCCTGCCCTGAGTCCCGAAGTTAGTCATGCCAGGGAGCCAAGGTTGTTACATCCAATGTTGTAGCCATAATGCCTCCAGATTGGGAAACTTGTCAACCCGGGCAAGGGATGGAGAGATGAAGCTTTGAGAGATTTCCCTGCCGTGAATAAAGAACACCGATGCACAATCTCAGTACTAGAACTTCAAACAATCCTGGGTGACGTCAAGACCAGTGACTTTGACAACTGCAAGTGCGGCTCTAAGCAAGGAAGGAAATCTCGAGCGACAATGCCATGACATGCAGCTCTATGGTTTGCGAACAAGCGTCAGTCACTCGCTAGGGACATTGTCCCTGCTTAAGTTGAGCCGAGCATCTTCCAATCGTAAATGCAGGATGGCCCGGTGCAGTTTCCGAAGTCGAATGCCACACGCACACCAAAGTTCATGCCAGCATTGATCCTCGGATGCAAGGAGCCCCATGCTCCGGATCCACAAGCTGAGGTCGTACTTGCAGCGGGCACTGCTGCTTGTTTGGCAGACGTTGCAGGCCGAGCATCAAAGGCTGCGTCGCCTTCATCTGGACCTCAGAGAGCAGAAATGTTTGCAAAAGCTGCTTCTCCGAACAGAAACTACACTCCCGGCCTTGAAGCGGCGGATCCTCTCGATGCCGAACTTGTTGCCAGAACCGTATGCGCCAGAGACAACTTCATTCTGAATGTACCACCTCACATGCTCCGCCATGCTACACCGATCTCCGATAGCGCTCAGAGTCAGAAGTTTTTGAGAGCAGCACATGATACCAGCCAGGTTCCCGGTGTTCACATTGAGTGGCGGGTAACTGCTGTGCCCTTGGGCTCGGTACCTCAGCGAAGCCGTTTCAGGGCCGACCTGGGTCTAAAGAAAAGGATCTGCTACGTAACCAAGGCACATATGAAAGGTAAGGAGGTCGGCACCGCTGGGACTGTGTAGCGACTGTTCAGCAAAGGGAATCTCCAAGGGATCACCTGCCAGTTCAAGTCAGCTCCGTGGCGGTTCACAGTCTTTGAAATTGCTCTGTTCAATAGGTGCTTGGTTCTGGACCCCTGCTTTCCATGGCTCCTTGCTGAAGCTTCCATGCTACCTTCTTGAATTTTACCTAGCACACTTAAGGAACCCAGCAAGCGGCTGTGCCTGGTGCCGGAGTCGGAGATGGCGTTGGTGGGGATGGTGATGGCGAAGGTGGTGGCGTGGGCGTTGGTGGCGGCGGTGCAGGTGGCGCAGTTGTAGTTGGAGGTGGAGGTGCTGGTGATGGCCCTGAACCTACGGGTGTGCAGGCCCAAGGAGTCTGATACCGAGGTGGATCGTTCCAGTGGATGCCAGGAACGCAGAAGGGCAAGCACTGCCCATAGGCTGAATCCTTCATGAAGCAAGTCATGGCTGGGTCACAGCATGTCGGCTTACTCAAGCAGTTGTCAGAGTAGCTGGCCGAGCACTGTGGTGCAGGCGTAGGGGCTGGAGTAGGAGGGGGTGGGGGAGGAGTCGGAGGAGGGGGAGGAGGGGGAGGAGGTGCTGGTGAACCTCCCAGAACTCGGCACGACCATGGCGTCCGGTACTGGGGAGGTTCTGCCCAGTGTATGCCTGGCTGGCAGGAGGGAAGGCAGGCTCCATAGCCGTTGCCCTTCTCGTAGCACGTGAAGGAGGCATCACAGCAGCTGGGATTGCTCACACAGTTATGAACGTAGGAGCCTGTGCACGCCGCTGGCGGGGGAGTCGGCGGTGGGGGAGGAGGGGTCGGCGGAGGGGTGGGAGGGGGCGGGGGCGGGGGCGGTGGTGCCGGGGAACCGCCGGGTGAAAGAAGTCTGCAGGTCCAGGGAGTTCGCCATTGCACTGGCTCCGATGCATGGAGGCCAGGGTTGCAATACGGCAAACAAGCGCCGTAGCCACCGTTCTTCTCGTAGCATTGGAAGCCCGATTCGCAACAGACCGGCTTCCACTTGCAGTTCACCGAATATGAGGCCGAGCACTGCCCTCCTCCCGGACTTGGCGCCGGCGGCGGAGGCGGACTCGGATTTCCAGGGTAAACCGCCCTGCAGGACCATGGAAATCTGTACTGTGGAGGATCTTGCCAGTGAATCCCGGCACGGCAACTGGGAAGACAAGCACCATAGTCCGAATCCCTCTCAAAGCAGGTGAAGGATCCATCACAGCAATTCGGATTGTTTAGGCAGTTGCCTCTGTAGCTTGTGGAGCATCGGCCTTCGCTTTCGCTTTGGCCCGAGACCGCAACGCTATTCCGGCCAGAACCGACGATGTCGCAGGACCATGGAGTCTGCCACTGTGCGGGATCGTCTAGGTGGATTCCTGCGCCAAAGATCTCAGAAGACTCAGACGTTTGGCAGCGATGACATGTTTTCGGCCCCCTACCTGGAGTGCACTGCGTCTTGCAAACTGCCACTTTCGCATCTTTTGCGAAGCATTTAGCTGCTGGGTCACAGCAATTCGTGTTGCCCATGCAGTTGTAGAGGTTCGATTGCGTGCAGTGGCCTGCAGCCGGGTCACATGATACTCCGGGGCACAACTGCTCGAAAGCTTCTGCCGAATTGTTACACTCATTCGCACCTGGACTTCATGACCTTCTACAGGAGGCCTCGACGTGTTCCACGCATGGAAGGCGTGGATGGTGCCAGGGACGCATTTTTGCCGAGGTGGATGGCAAGTGCATCAAAGTAGGCCTTTCAGGCAGGCAGAGATAGTAAGGCATCAGTACTAAAGATAAACTCCCAAGCAAAGGTTCCATTGCTCTTGCGGGCCTCCTCTGAATTCTCTGCCACTGTCGGTGAACAAAACAGGAGCAGCACAGGTGTCAAAGCCGCCACCCTGCGAAGCATGAAGACTCGAGCTTCATTCAATTGGATATAAGGTGGAACAAACTCGGTGTCCGGATGTCACTCGACGTACGACGACAAATTGGATGTCTCGTCCTTGATTGCATAATCCTCTGGAGTGTGTCTCTTACTGCGATCTTGCAACTAACATGCCAAAGGGCGTTCACCCTTGCATCAATGCAACCGTCACCGATACACCTTAGAGCCTTAGAGTGATGCGGTAGCTTTCTGACTGGCATCATGCAAGGACTGGGCCGAGACTGCGTACTGTGCAATCTGAGGCGAGACCGAGAAGCCTTCATAAGTTTTTCATGTATCAGGCATACTGCTGTCACTTCCAACTGCTCAACGGCTGTAGACCGGCATGCGACATGATAGTAATCAGCTCGAGGATATGCCACCATATGGTCCAACCAAAAGAGTGAGACAGCGCACCGACACCATCAGCAACCGGCCTGCAGCACCGAAGCTCTCGCATGACCGAGAGCATTGACCGACAGCAACATGCAGACTTAAAGCTGGGAGCCACAAGCGGCGTCCGGTGTCGCCACAAGTCACAAGAGTGAAACAAGCCGTCATCCTAAGCGGACATGTACCGCTGATGAAAACTTCCTGGTCTTGGGAGCCGGCAGGGGAGAGGACTGCAAAAACTGGTCGACCTTCGCCGTGACCATCTGATGCTGCGGCCTACCAGGCTCCGAAGACTGCGCCAGAGCGAAAAGCCAAATGCGCGGTCGAAGCCAGAAACACTGGGGGGATGCTTTCACAAGCAAAGCTGGGCAGCAGACCCTTCGAGCCAAGCTAGCTTGATGACCTTACAATTGGAGCAAGCCACTGGAACACTGCTGTC